ACAGCACCCTGTTGAAATGTTACAATTTGTACATTTAATCATTTTGTCTGGCTGTCTGTCACCCCCTGGTGAGGGGCACTCAGTGTACAAACTCAGTGTACTCAATGAGTATGTGTGTGGTCCAAACCAGGGTTGAGCAGTGGAAACTGAGAAGACCAGGATGAGCAGCAGTAACCAGAAGACGGGAAGATGTACTGGCAGCAGGTGAGATGACAGGAGGGACATAGGAACCAGAGGATAGGGCAGGTGAGCAGGGTAGCTGTCAGTGTAGGAGTGAGCAAGGCAGCTGTCAGCGTCTGAGTAAATAGAGTAGCTGTCACTGTTGATGTTCCCTCTGATATCAAGGCTCCGAAGCTTGCTTCAAACTAGGAAGGATATTTTTCTGAAGCACTGTGCCGGAGCTTGCTTCAAATCAGGAAAAACCACATTCAGATTGAATCAGCTGACTGGTTTGGTTCGATAGCCAGAGCTTTGAAATGTTGGCGTGATACAAATGTATTTAAGATGGATGAAATAGCGCTCTGTCCTACGTCTTGTCAACACATTTTGGATTGCCTCGCTATGGAGCCATCATGGAAACGGTCACAAGTGTGGGGACATTTTGAATTGGTGCCACCGAATAAGGTAAATTATATTTCCAAAATGTAAGCCTTATTTTCAAGTCTGTTATTCAAATAGTGGATGTAAAAGTTTACGGTCCCCTCCGAATAAACACAGGAAGAATAAATCACACACAGATCTCATTGTGATTTCATAGGTACACTGTTTGCAATGTCCTCAGCAGCTGAGGTATAACAATAACAAGTCATCAATGTCAAGCATGAATGTCCTTGAGGAGCTGAACATTTTCATACCTGAAAGCATGCTGAAGTAGAATTTCCCCATTCATTTGAATGGGGCAAGATTTTCAAAATAAAGCTAAATATTTCAAAGGTATGAAGTTTAGAAAAATTCTGAAGCATGAATATCCTTGAAGAGCTGAACATTTTGATAGCTGAAATTATGCTGAAGTAGGTTTTTCCCGTCCATTTGAATGGGGCAAGATTTTCAAAATAAAGCTAAAGACTTCAAAGATATAAGGTTTAGAAACATGCTGCAT